GGCCCTGCTGACATTGGCTGAAGATTAGCACCATGGGCGGCACGGTCCACAGCCCAATCAGCAGTGCATGCACATCGGCCGCCGGCAAGCACTGCCCTCCCCAAGCCCCCCAAAACAGCCGCCAGCACCTCCCGCAGCTCCGGACGGAGGGCAGCCCAGGCGAAGGGACCCCTCTGTTCCAGAATTATTCAGTCTGATAGTTAACGACAGATACTGTCAGGGACTTTGTTGAAACCTGTCAAAGACAATTAAGTTTTACATGACTAAAGAAAGCAGAGAAGAACACTCTCGCAGCCCTACCCCGCTGACAGGTCTATGCACATGCTCATGCAGCCCACCACGGCCGTGCAGAGTGCTGAGAAGCGAGGGCCTCACTGCTGGAGCTGCAGGAGGAAGGGAAGACATCTATAAAAGACCCCTCTGGCGCTATAGGCAGAGACCCAGGTGGGTGGGCAAGGCTGCCGGGGAGTGAGGTGAGGGACGGGTGGTTTGGGCTGACCTGGTGGTGGTGCCACTTCTGAGATACGAAGGATTGGAAGAGGAGCGAGTGTGGGGTGGGGATTCCATCTGCTTCACTCTAAGGAGATATGATGATGAAAATCCGAATGTGTAGTTCACTACTTTATCTCTGCGACCGCCTGTAACCCAGATGTGAATGTTACTAACATCCAGTGGGCCACTAAATCCAGGTAATAATGATGGCAATGAAGAGGCAAAGGAAGAGCTGCCATCTACCACACGTCTGCTGTGCAGGCACCGGGGTCCACGCACCCCCTAGGCATTGTCTCATGGAATCACCACGACCACCTCCTCTGGCATGTCCTTACTTCCCGGTCCCCATTTTACAGAGACACACAAAGAGGTGTAGCAACTTCCCCCATCACACAGCTAACAGGAGGCCGACCCCACAAGACACCTCCTAGTAAGCCATCCCACAAGAGTTCTTAAGTTCAACCAGCAACACACATGTTCTCAGAGTCCACAATAACAGGTCAGGTGGAAAACGTGGGTCTTCCATTCAGTTAGTTCAGGACTAATTTTTCAAGTTTTCCTTGAACATTCACAAACAAAAAACATTTCTTTTTGAATGTGGATCAAATCTGGAAAGTGTATATCCCAGAGAGACTGAGAAAGCCACACACCAGGGCAGAGAGGTCATCTACTCACCAGCCAGCGGCACTGCACAGACGCCTCTTGCTGGCAGGTGCAGTGGGCCCTCGCCCAACCCACTTCACCTACAACCTGCTGGGGAGAAGCATGAGCTTCTAGAAGGGCCAGAGCAAGTCCAGCCACCAAGCTGAGGGAGAACCCCACAGCTGCATACTAAGGCTCTGTTGGAAAATGTCTCCAGTCGCCTAGATCTGGGGTCTGTTTGGATAAAAGAATTCATGAGTTGAACCAGACACACATCTGGAAGACAGCAGGGACGGCAGCAGGGCCACACACTCTCACTCAGCCTCACGCCCCCAAACCAGAGTAACTGCAGTCAGAGCCGCAGGAAAAGAGGCTGCAGATGGACTTTAAAGATGAGCTCCCCCTCATCACAGACGGCCATAAAGAGAAGGTGCCAGAGGTCAAAAGAAACAGGCTGGACACTAACAAGATGAGTCTGTCTGAGACTGTGCCTAACCCCCGCCCTCTTCAAGTGCAGGCAGGGTGGGCCCCCCCTGCTCATGTGCAGCTCCCCCTGCAGCCAGGCTCCCTTCTCTAGAGCCTCCACCTCAACTCCACCCAACTCAGAAACCTCAAATCAGGCTTCCAAATAAGTCTGTGCACACTGTGGGCGCTTCCTCTCCTCACAAGCTCTTCTCTTGAACTTTTAAGCCATCACCAGAAATGCAGTCAATAAACTAACAAATGGTAGGGCAGTGCCTCAGGAAGCCCTGAGACCACCTGTCCTCCAGAGGTTAAGCTCTGTGTTCCAGGAGCCCAAGCCAAGGTGCCATGTTGCTCCTGCTGTGAATGACATCGTGGTCCACTCTGGCCAGGGCCATGTGACCAGCCCTGACTAGGAGCACCTCACTGGGCTGGCCCTAGAAAGACCCTGTCCTCAGGAAATGCTCAGTTAATGAGGAAGGTAAGGACAGTAAGCAGAAATGGGAGCATCTGTGACGCCAGCAGAGGCAGCCGCAGACCTGCAGGGAGCATGAACCCAGCCCTGGATGGCAGCTAGGGGCCATGCCAACCTTCTGAGGGAGCAGAGCCTGAGCCTGCCAGCTAGCGTGTGACAGTCCCTGGGCCCTACTGCCAAACTGCTCAGTAAATAGCTGGAGCCTGCTAATTCACACTAATTAAAATGGTGGATGTGAACCAACCAAAGTCATGTTCAAAGTTCCACTGACAATGGGGAATAAATACCCAAAACGTCTTCACACAGAAGGCAAAGAACGGAGCCAAGGAGGCTTTCTGCGACCCCTCAGCTCAGGGGCCAGAATGGCCACAGGAGAGTAGGACGAATGTGGAGAAACGCCAGGAGTGCCACTGTCTTCTCGGTTTTGATGAAGATCTATCACAAGACTCAAGTCAGCCACGTGAAAAACCACCACACTTGAGCAAACAAACGAGGACCAGCACTCAGGCCTCCTGTTGGGACAAGCACAGCACCCGGCACAGGGGCACAGAAGCTCACTCAGTGACAACAGAGGATACCGCGAACGCGAAGCAGAGCTGTCCACAGAACGGGCAGCCAGGGCTTGGAGTCCTTCGGGGTCGTCCCACCCTAGATGGCCCTCCTGACACAGACCTCCATGCAAATTCAACATCAGACAATTCACCTGCTGTCCAAAGTAAATGCAGACCCAACAAACGAGATCTAAGCTCCAGCTCCTCCTTCTCCTTGCAGATGTTCGCTAGGTCAGCACCCACTCACCCGTGCCCCTTCCCACGAACCCCAGTCTTCTCCCACTGCAGAGCCACCCTGCTGTCTGGGTGGGATACCCCACTTTCCTTCCAGTGTGACCCTAACTGATTTAGGCCCAACAGCACAGCCTCAGGTCCCTGCATAATAATCACTCTGGGATGGGCACAGCACAGAGTGTACCCCCCAACTCAGAGCAAACACAGCACCTTCCTTCAGCACTGGGGAAGTATCTGTCAATAAGCCCAGAGCCTACATTCCTGCGGCAGCCACTTCCAACACAAGGCAGCCAACAGCTGGTCACTGGGAAAGCAAAGCATAAAGAAAGGGGCTGGAGTCCTGATCAAACCATACCCCTTCACTGTCCAGGCCCAGGTGGGCTGGATTTTTTGCTACTTCCAGCTGAGGGCCTCCGAACTGCACACCGTGGCATGCCAATCAGAATGCCAGAGAGAGAACGGATGTGCTGGACTCCATACCCTGTCGGTGCTAGCAAACAATGACCCTGACACCAGAGGTCTTCAAACCACAAAACTACCACAGGCAACCTCGGGTGGGAAAGTACTCGACTGCAGATGGGACCCCTGAACTCCAGGGTCCCTCTGCCACCAGCAGCTCCACAACAGGAAGGTAAAACCAAAATGTGCCAGTCCTGCCAGCTTACATGCAGTGAGACAGGACAAGCTAATATACTTCATGAACCTTACAGCACAGGTTGCTTACTTCAAACAGAGCAAGCCAAAGAGAGGGAAAGCAGAGTTGCTGCTTGTGACCCATAACTGAAAAACGGGCTGGCCAGGTCAGGGGCGGCACGCAGGAGTTTTTAAAATTAAACATCAGAATTGAGCTCAATTTTCTTTCCTTGTAGACCAGCCCTCAAATGAAGTTCCATCTCAAAAATGTTTCTAATCGAATATGAAAACTTTCAGGTTCTGCTTAGAAACTGTCAGTTTCGCAAATTAGTGTTAGCCTTACTTAGGATAATTTTAAGGCTTATCCTGTCCTAAAAAGCTTTTCTAAATAAATAGCAGTTGGCTAAAGACAATAAGCAAAAGGAACTAAAAAATTGACCTCTAACAGTTCACCTCGAACCATATCACCTAAACTAAAAGGAGTTTAAACCTTAAAATGTTTAATCCTATGTTTAGGCAATTTCTCTCACAGTAAGTCTGAAGAACTGATCAGGGTTTTTAGTAACTCCACAGGAGAGTCCCGGCACTTCAGGATGTGTTTTCAGACTCTTGATTAAATCAGCAGGGGTCACATGAATTCCAGACTTCGAAGTCTCAAAGGTGGGAGCCTCCAGCCACCAGCTCCGGGGAGACAAGCGGGAAACACAAGCACTCCAAGAGTGACAGGTGCCAACCCGCAAACCAAGCACATCCCCAGTGACCATGAAGGGATTACGAAAAAAAAGAATAAAGAAACAGGCTGTAAAGCTGTGACAACTTGATGGCACCACTCCACCCCTTCCCAAGCCCATGCGTACACACACACACAGTCACACACACGCACAGTACAGTCTCAGAGCACCCGGGCTGCTGTGGACTGACTCTACACAACGGCACTACCACATTTTGTTGGCAGGAAATAAAATTCCAATCCTGGAACTCCAACCACAGCCACAGGAAGTTTTCAAAGTACTCTGACAATCCACCAGATAGAAACTCCCTCATCACTATTTGTCATCCTCTAGGAAGAGTCTTAGAAGACTGTTATAAAAAGCAATAAATAATCAAGAATGCTCTAAGTATCGATGCATTTAAAGGTCCACTCCTCCCTTTATCATGCCCAAAGGATGATGTTTGCCAGGGAAATCCATCTTCTCTGCAAGAGGATACAAATTTTACTGGTAAAGGGTAAAGTTTAAATGTCATTATGACTTCTAAGAACTCCAATGCTCCTAATGACTTACAAAGCCATCTATATTAGTCCGTTCTTGATCAAAATATTCTCAACATCACGAACACAAAAAATACCTAATGACATATGAGAAGGTGTCATGAATAAGAGATTAGACTATAGTTTAACCACAACAGCATGGGGTCAACAGACAAGACCACTCACTACCAACACCTCTCCCTCGCACACTCTCCAGATCTCGGAGGTGAGTGCAGAAATGGACACCTCGTGCAGGACTCACCTGAACTCTCTGCCTTCGCTGTACCGTCTGCTGCAGGAGGCCCTCGGGGCGGCGGTCTCCAGAAGCAGTTTCTGCGTGAGCCTGCTGGGGGGGGCAGTGTCTCTGCCATCGTCCTCATCTGCGTCTTGGCCACACTTCCACTCCTCATCTTCGTTCAGAGTGGGCAGGTATCCAGATATGCCCTTCCCTGTCCCTGACCCAGAGCTCTGGTCACTACAGACCTTCGGGCTCTCGGAGCCAGTCCTCGTATATTCCAAATAAATATCAGACTTGAGGAAGGAGGGGTAGGTGTTCTCCTCCATGGTGGACTGGATTTCTGTCTGGGCCTGGTCGAACATGGCGGGATCGATCTGCTGCTTCATGATGCAGTCCTTTATGAAGCTCTTGGTGGCTGGCTTGGTTTGCCTGGACACAATGCCGTTGTTATCAAGGATGTACTTTCGGTAGATGGCTCTCGCCAGCTTCAGCCTCTTCTCCTCGTTCGAGTCACAGGGCTCTAGCTTCCTAAAGCCACTGCAGGCAAACCAAAAGTCTAGCAGGTCGGCACAACCCTCCTGCTTCAGGAAAGTCCTGAACAAGCTGATCCCATCTTGATCGTCCAGTAAGGAGTGCAGTGACTCGGCCCACTTCAAGTACGGTGGGGTGGGTGAGGCGCTGCCCTCAGGCTCATACCCCAGGTCCAGATCTGAGCGCCTTGGAGTGGCTGTCGAGGTCTCACCTTTGATGCTGGCAACTTTCCCAGAGCAGAAACTGTGGCTGACGGGCCTCGGGTCTGTGGACACCAGTTCTCCCTCCTCGCCAGGCACTGGGGGTCGGGGGGCATCTTCGGTGAAACTTGCTCCAAGGTCCAAGGGGAAACCCTGCTCTTGGACATTCATTTTGGGACTCTGTGCGTCAATGAACAATGAGCGCTGCACCCTAATACATCAGTACTTACAGCTCCAAAGTGAATCAATCTGTCCTGTTGAAACCATTAAGAGGACAAGGATTAGGAAAGGTGGGTCCATGGAAACACGACCACAGAGGTTCTCTCAAGACAAGACTCGCCATGACGCCCTCCCACTCTCACTCAGCCAGGAATTCAGCTTAAATTTTTAGTCGAGATATGTTTTGGCCACAAGGTTTGCTCCACATTAAAACAATTTCTGGAAACTTTTATAACTACGGGAATGCCTCTCACGCTAAGAAGTGAATGCCCAGAACACAGAGAACACCACAGAGAGACTGGCAGCCTGCAGACCTCCCATCTTTGTCTAAAGAGCTGAGTGACCAGGGGGCTGGCCAGTTAGCTCAGCTGGTTAGAGCTTGGTGCTGACAACACCAAGGTCCAGGGTTCGATCCCTGTTCTGGCCAGCCACCAAAAAAAAAGAAAGTCCCAGCAGCACTGAGTGACCAGGAAGGTAGGAAGGCTGGAAGAAGGAAAGGTGATTCTAGTCCTGACCACTTGTATAAACCTGGGTGAGAGTTGGTCCCTCACACGTAAGACGAGGATAATCACTCCATCTGCCCCAGCGATAAGCAGAGAAAGGAAAGAAGGCACATTACAGACTCTAGGGCAGGTGGGCATCTTCTGAGTCCGCATTCTCCAGGCCCGTGGCCGTGGTGTTTTCTGCTTGCATCACGCCAGGAGTAAACACACAGCAAGGTGTTCCTCCAACTCTCAACACATACACCTATAAGAGCAGTTCATCATAGATCACCTTCAGCAGCATCGACCAAGCGATCAAAGGACACAACCCATATGTGTTCTGACATCGTCAATGCAGACGATCTTAAAAACACTTCTGTCCAAAAACTTTACGTGACTGTTAAAACCTCTCTTACAAGGAAAGTGTCCTTCGGATAGCAAGTGGTAATTGGGTACTTTAAGGAAAAGAGAAGGTATAGAAAAAATGAAATCCAAATGCGATTATATTTTTTAGCTAAGGAAGCATATAGTATCCACAAGTTGAAAACCAAACCACCCATCATTTTAGAGGCTGGAGGATTTACTGATCTTGCTGCTGCTGCTGCTACTAAAGCACGCACGGGATGTGCAGAAGAGAAGCCCTGGGTCAGGGCACAGACAGAGCCCTCTGCCATGGTCTCTGGTCCTTTCCACCACATCCACAGGAGCCCATGAGCCCACAAGCTCTAGCTATGCCTCTCAACCAAAGGGCTAGCCAAAGCGGTGACTGGCACAGCCTACCATGATGTAAATGGTCCCAGCTAAAGGTGGGCCAAGAGAGGGCTCTACAGAAGCATGGCGGGTTCAAACACCTGGAGCACCCAACAAGCCAGTGAGTGCAGAATGAAACCCTACAGCCTGGAACCTACAGCCACCGCTCCACACGGCTCGCCCCTGGCCTACGTGTGACTGGTCCCCACATTCTCACAACACACACACTTCATGTCAACAACTGCTGATGGCTAGAAGAAGCATCCATACACGGAGGATGGGTCACATTAGATGTCCCAAATGACATTTCTGCAGCTAATGACTTTCTATGAAAACTACTGGGTAGGCTGTCATCTCAGCCTCAGCAGGAATAGCCTGTATCTGAAGGTCAAGGCCCCCCGGGCTGTGGCATCCCACTGTTCAGAGACCACTCAACTGAGTCACTGTCTTCGAGCCCCATCTGCATGGGGTAAGCACCTGGGGTGTCTGCAGCTCCACACCAGCTCACAGTTGTCGAATGTCCTCTTGTCCAGGACACCATCACAGGCAAGACGGCCTGCACCCTGACCACCTGAGCCTTCCCTTATAGTTACTCTGCAGTTCACTAGCCTTGACAAAGAACCAAGTTACTGGAAACTGAAAAGTAACAAACCAGACAGTGTGTTCAAATGGAGGCTAATTACAAGTCACCTTCACTTTCTAATAAGGTGCTTATGTCTTCCATGTAAATTATTTGTAGCAGCAGGACCACAGCACCTAGTACAAGGTCTTGCAACAAACAGACACCAATAAATACTTAATTCATTGACATAAAGGAGAAAGACACTTGTCACAGATGCAAAACATGAGCTCTTTACAAATGCTGAGCTACTGAGCTATAGAAACAGCAGCAAATTCAAGATCTAGCCCTTGATTACGAAACTGCAGTTATCTATTAATGCTAACATTCTAATTCATGTGTGAACCAAGTCCACCCTGATCATTTTACACTATTTTTCAGAGCCCAGAAGAAAATTTTCTTATAATTCACATCTATTTTTGCCTGTCAACAGACAGAGGAACTCTGGTGTCCCTGGAAGCACATGAAGACCTCTACAAATTACTGACGTCGTTGAAACACACTACAATTCCAGAAATCTCTGGGCTCCCACAGGGACGCACACCAAGCGTTTAGTATACACACAGGTACACATCACATATAAATCAATTATATTAATTCAGGTTAGTCAAATGCCCACGAGCACTGAATCTTGCCCACAGCCTGTAACCACCATCAATAAATGATTCCATAAAAGGAATCTACAAGTCTGATACTGCATTTAAAATCCCCTTAAGTCACTGTCAAGGCACATGCCCTGGGTACCATGGCAGCAAGGTCGATGCCATATACATATATGTATACATTTATTTTACTCAATATAACTTTTAATTTCTGTGGAGTGGGGAAGTACCAGAACATGACTCTGACATTTTCCCAAGTGTCCAATGATCCAACTCTTGAAGGGTTAGGGTTACTATTTTACACATAATCCACTTCCCCATCACCTAAATTCTCGATGATCAATGTAACCCAAAAAAGTCCACTTAGCTTTCCTGAAACTAGAAATCTAAGACAAGTCAACACTTGCTGAAAATAAAACAAAAACACTGTGATTTACATGCTATCCCATCCTTGTCCCTGAGTGGAAGTTCTTAAAACTGCAACCAAGCTACTGCTGACTCCCTTGGGTAGTCAGGTTTAGACTGTATGTTTCTCCAACGCAGGGCCTGTGGATATGCAAGCAAACCTGAGATCCTTCCTGAAGAAGCGGAGAACACCAGTGTGGCAAAAAGGAGGTGCCAATACGCACAGTAAGAATCCTTTATGAATTATCTTAGAGATGTGCTGAGAAATCCTTACGGTCTTGAGTGCCCAGCTAAAAGTATCACTGCCCTGGCTGTGCAGCTCTGGGGGGGCTGAATTCCAAAGTGTGGGGGTGGGGGCAGAATTTAAGACCCACATCCAGGAGAGAGACCTGAGCTGTGAAATCTGAAAGGCCCTAACCTCAAGGAGTAGGACGCCAGGGCACCCAGGCACTCAGACACGCCAGCCGGCCGCAGCCTGGACCCGCACCTCCGCCTAAGAGAGCGAGCGAGCCTTCCCGGTTCAGACTCACTCACGCTGGCTTTTCCTGAGGGGAGGGTGGGGAAGGGCGCTCCAGTCCTGCCTGTCCCCGGGACCCCCGCACACACCCGCCCAGCAGCTGCTGTGCACCCCACCCGCGCCCCCAAACACGCCCGAGGCCCCCTACAGCGCACCCAGTGCGAGCAGCGCGTCCGGCTGCAGCCCCCGCCGGACCCGGAGGCACCCAACCAGCCCCTCTCGGAATCCCCCAGCCCCGTCCGGCCCGTGCACGCCGCGTCCCCTCCCGGCAC